AAAATTTTCTTAGAGATACTTGAGTCACAATTGTTGAAACCCACTGCTCAAGGTCATGGGAGATAATGAATAATCTTTGTGCCAGAGACTATAGCAAGGAAGAGTGAATTGATGGAAGGAGATAGCACATAGGGAGTTGGGGGTTCTATGTTTCTTCCTCACTTCTAAGTTTGTGTCCTGTGGAAGTACAAAATCCCATAGGGGCTAATAACACACACGTATCCTAGTGTTTTAGGCAAAAGAGGCTCTCAGAATGTCTCTTAGAATGGTACAGGAATAGCAGAAAAAATTCCTATTTCCCTAAATTATGTTTGTACATAGTGGAAAGCTCACCTGCCATGAACAGACTTGGCAACAGGAATAAGAGATAACTCAGAGGACACTTGTGAATTGATGGCAAAGTTAAATAGAAAAATGATGTTGTCATAGATGCCAATATAGATAAATGCCATGAAATATCAATTGAGCTATTTAGAAGTAAAATCTAAAATAAAAGAGACAAATGCTCTAATGAAATAAATGGTTTTGTTCTCCTGATTGAAAAATAATAACATATACTATAAGCATTTCACATATATTATTTTATTCTCACAACTACTAAATTGTGTAGATGTTATTATAATTAGAATTGTAGAGAAAACAACAATCTATCAAGAGGGATGAAATAACATTTCCAGGTTATACCATTTATAAATGAAGATGTTGGAATGGGAATTTGAAGCTGAAATTGAGGTTCAGCTTCCCAAGTTGAGGTATTTATTATTTGGAAATAATAAATACATTGACTACAGCTAGTTTGTGGATTCGTGGGTACATAATCTATGAATACACACACACACCTATGTGCACATAAAAATCTTCACCAGGATTCCACTGAATGTGCCAGGCCAGTGTGGCTTGAGTAGAATTTCCATTTTCTGTTTCCTGAGGCCTGTTTTCCTATTCATGAGACAAGGTGACTAACAATGTCAAACTGCAGCTTCCAACTGCTGGTTTACATCATATCAGAAGAAGGTACTTTAGTGTTCTAATTTCTGTTTTACTATCCATGATTTGGCAGAGAAGTGAAAATGATTATGATTTATTCCCAAAATCAGTTTCATGAAAAAATTTAAAAAATATAGCTTCATTTTGCTATGTAGAATTGTAGGAATAATATTACGAAAAAGCCTAAGAAAGCAGAATATTCCTTTTATTTCA